ACTGTCTCCCAAAAAAAAAAAAATGACACTCCTTGACACGGGTTTATGACACTCCTTGACACGGGTTTAAACTGTCTACCTAAAAAAAAAAAGAACTCCTTGATACGAGTTTAAACTGTCTCCCAAAAAAAAAAAAAACTCCTTGACATGAGTATTGTTGAGGCTGAAATTCATGCAGTCCGATACGATATCATTTTTCTGCAAGGAAGAGGGAGAAGATCAATGAACCTTGACGGCAACGGTATGGTGCCTGCCAAGAGCTCTCCGACTATCAAATTAGTCACGGAGGTCTAAAAAGAAGGCAGAAATTAATAATAGTTTTTTCGTCGTCCCTTCTTTAATGGCTTGGTGCCCTATTTATGGCTGTCGATTGGAATCAAAATCGTTCCGCCGATGTCGATGGTTAATCTCATCTTTCGCTTGTGCAAGATTATAGGAGATTTGTTGCCAGATTTGTCGGGGATATGATTTAATCCTTTTTGACCTCCTTCAGTTATAATAGGATTATTCTTACCTGTTGAACCACGTCAGATTTCATTATCCTTGATTGAGAATGAAATCTAATCAATCTTATCGAGGGTAGGGTAGGTTTATATTTTTTCCTATCAAGTATAAACTGTCTACCAAAAAAAAATTGTGAACTATATGATGACTTGATCCCTGTTTAGGGTATGTAGGCATCTTGGAAGTTTGTTCCAAGTTCAGTCAACCTAAAAAAAAAAAGGCAAAGTGTGCTCATCGCATAATATCAAAAGTGCCCGTCGCACTTATCAACTTGGTATGCCACCAAAGTGTAGTTGCAAAGAAAATTTTGGTCTGTCGCCAAATTGTAGCAATGAAGAAATTTGGCCCACCGCCAAAATGTAGTTACAAAGAAAAATTTTGGTCCCTCGCCATAATTGTAGCTACAAAGGAAATTTTGATCCGGCAAAGTGTAGTTGCGAAGAAATAAATTGGTTCGTCGCCAGACTGTAGGTGCCAAGAAAAAATTCACGGCGTCGCCAAGATATTGCTGAAGTAAAAACAAATCACCACACAGAGGCATAGACATGCAAGCTTTGTTTGTCACATCCTTACAGCATCTGCAACAGAGCTCTATCTTCGAGACAGATATGCACAAGCACACTTGCGTAACTTAGTAACTTCTTGTCAAGTGACTACTGGTGTCTGGTGCATAAGTAAACTTATACACTGAGTCAGACCTTTTGGTGGAGCTTCGGCTTGAAATCATCATCAAAACTAATAATGGCTAATGATGCTGGTGGTATGACCTCTCGGAGTATGGTCTCGCTCTATCAATGGCTGCTAGATGATCCATGGCTGATGAAAACGTTCTGGCGATGGCTAACAATGCTAGTGGTATGACCTCTTGGAGTTTGTTCTTATTCTCTGAATGGTTGTTGTCTGATCCGTGGCTAATGAAGACTACATCTGTCGTTGCTCTCTGGACTGATTTATGACTGTTGACGCCACTGTCTGTCCTGGTCGTATGACCTCTCAGAGTATGGCCTCGCTCTATTAATGGCTTCTGGATTATTCATGGCTGATGAAAACGCTCCGGCAACGGGTGTTGATAACGTTGTCTGAGCTATTGGTAAAGCCTCTCTGCGTCTACATATCTCGTTGCTCTCCGAGTTGATTTGTGGTTGCTGATGACACTGTCTGTGCTGATGGCATGACCTCTCAGAGTCTGTTCTCGCTTTAAAACGGTGATAGTATGGGGTTTGAAACTCTTGAAAAACACCATGGTTGACTAACACCCCCTGAAAAAAAAAAAAAAAAAAAAAATTTAAAAGTGTGGAATGACATGCATGGAAGATTTTGGTTCCAAAGGAATAATGAGTCCTTACGGATTAGTTGCGTTCCGAAGGAACAATGGGTCCTTACGGACTAGTTGCGTTCCGAGGGAACAAAGGGTCCTTACGGACTAGATGTGTTCCGAGGGAACAAAGGGTCCTTACGGACTAGATGTGTTCCGAGGGAACAAAGGGTCCTATGGACTAGATGCGTTCCGAAGGAACAAAGGGTCCTTACGGACTAGATAAGTTCTAAAGGAACAAAGGGTCCTTACGGACTAGTTGCGTTCCAAAGGAATAAAGGGTCCTTATGGACTAGATGCATTCCAAAGGAACAAAGAGTCCTTACGGACTAGTTACGTTCCAAAGGGATAAAGGGTCCTTACGGACTAAATGTGTTCCAAAGGAACAATGGGTCCCAAAGGGACTAAAAACGTGGAAGAGCCACAAAAAAAAAAAAAAAAAAAAAAAATTGCTCCAGCAAGCGTGGAGAGAAAATAATAATAATAATAAACATTTTTTTGCTCCAACAAGTGTGGAGAGAAGAAAAAAAATAATAATAAAATTTGGCTCCAGCAAGCGTGGAAAGAGAAAAAAAAAAAAAGTTCATTCTCCAGCAAGCGTGGAGAGAAAAAAAAAATGAAGAAGAAGAAACTGAAGAAGAAAGAAAAAAAAACATACCAATTATTTGTGTTTAAGCAGAGTCCGTAATCCAACACAGTCTTCAGAAGTTGTGATTTGACACGTCTTTAGAGAATATTGGAATTGATGTCAAACCTTACAATATTGAGGGTATATATAGGTAACAAGATACTTCCACGTTGTATTGGGATTTGGACAATTCAATTCAAATAAGAAAGTCAAATTCCAATCCAAATTTGAAAAAAAAGAAAAAAAAGAAAAGGAAAGTTGGATACTTTAAGTCCCACTTGAAAAAGGAGACCAAGTCCTGTCAAACTTGAGATTTGAAGTGGGTGCAATTTGTAGACACTAAAATTTTAGTGGGCTTTGATTTTGACAAATGGACTTATGAAATATGGGCTTAATATTTAATTAACTTATTTAATTGGCCCAAGCTTGGTTCACTTAAATTATTTAATTAGCCCAGCCCAGATGATTAAATATAAAGATAATTATTCCTAATAAAATATATTTAGAATAATTATATTTAAGGATAATTATCCGGCCCGGCCCAGTTATGATTTTATCCTTATCAGGAGATGACACGTGTCATCATCCTATTAATTCAAAAAGCCTATAAATAGAGGCCTGGGGAAGAAGACTGGGGGGGAGGGGTACAGAAATTCAGAGTCTAGAAATCCAGAAGGTCCAGAAATTGAGAGAATCAGAAATCTAGAAGGCCAGAAATCCAAAGGGTAAACCTGAAGGCGAAGAACAACAAGTACATCCAAAATTGTGCCGTTCTTCATCAAATTCAACAAATCATCTCTGAAGACGAAGAACAACAAATACATCCAAAGACGTGCCGTTCTTTCTCAAATTCAACAAAGGACACAAATTCAGAATTCAGAAGTTCAGAAACAAATGACACAAATTCAGAATTCAGAAGTCCAGAAATCAGAGACTCAAAAGTCAGAGACACAAATTCAGAATCTAAACCCAAAAGCGAAGAACATCAAGCACATCCAACGACGTGCCGTTCTTCATCAAATTTTACGGAGATCAACAACAAGCACATTCAACGACGTGCCGTTCTTCATCAAATTCCACGGTGATCAACAACAAGCACATCCAACGATGTGCCGTTCTATATCAAATTCCACAGTGATTCAAGAATAAGCTCGTGCAGCCCTTGGATCTAACCAACAACAGAAAGGAGATCGAATCAGAGGACCATTCTTTTTGTAAAGAATATTATTACAGATGATTGTACTCCAATTGTTTACAAATTAATAAAATATTCTATTTGCTCTTTATTTTGTTTCTATTTGCATATATACAAAATTTGTGTGTACAATTTTAAACAAAAGGAATTTTTATAGTTGAACCAAAGAAGCATGTCTTTAGAGATTACATAAAGTAGCCAAAGATTCCACTGTAAATAAGTGGTTTCCAGTGGAGGAATTTAATGGGTTATTCCACAATTCTTGTCGGCTGTCCAGTCGAATAGCCCAATTGTTAAACAATCTATATGGCGTAATCTGTGGCATCATTCCACAATTCTTGAAGCCAACACCATGTTTGAATCCAACAATATTCAGTTTTAAGGAAATTGAACCTAATAGACTTATAGGCCTGTTTGGAGGATGCTCTACCTTGTTCTACCTTGTTCCCTACGGTGCAAATGGACACTGTTGAGGTGATGAAGTTGTTTGGCATGGGCTGTACCGTGTCCAACAATGCAAGAACAATTTGCAATAATGGGCCAATTTCTGGAACCAAAAATTGGTGTTCCAAAGTGTACCCAAAATAAAGCCGGCCCACTATTCACTGTACAGCTTGGAACAACAGCCCAAACTTGGAGCAGTCTGAGAACACGTATTTAGTTTCCAAATCACCTGAATTACAAGACATTTAAAAAATATATTTCTCAAAAAAACATTTTACTTTTAAAGGTATTTTATTTTATTTTTATTTTTTAACAAGGTCTAGATACAAATTAATGAGTAGTTTATTTTTGTTAGATTTTAATAAAATATTTTACTTCGAAAATATTCTAGTATAATTTTTGACAAGCAAACAAAAAAATAAAAATAAAAAAATATATATTTTTTCTATAAAATATTTTATATCCAAACAAACATAGCCCAGTTTCATTAGCCAAATTACACAAACCACACTTCGCATCATCTACCAACCCTCTTTGGTCAAGATTCCATAAACAAGGCACCCTTTCACGAGAGCACTGCTATAGGAAAAACTGATTTTTTATTAGCTAAATTATACAATTATTCTGCAAAACTCTTCGGCTGGCCCAAATATTTAGAAACATTGATTTTCCCATACAAATTTTTAAGCCCCATATTTTTGTATCCTCACTCGTTAATTGTCTTGGAGGATCCAATTTCAATTCACAACTAATATATATGATGATTCAAGGGTTTGAATTTTAATTGGCAAGTTGCAAGGAAAGATTTTTTACAAATGTCTCTTATTCTATTATATGATGCATCATACTGATGCTCATATATATATATATATATATTTTGAAAAGTACTCATATATATCTTGTTCCATAACATATTATACATTAATATATATATATTTTTTTTTCAAAAGTTCAAACAAACACACGTACACATTTATAATACATGCATCTCCCCAGCTAGCTAGCGAGGCTCAAACCGTCACAATTTAAACACACACACACCCCAAAGGAGAGTACTAGTGGAATGCAACTAAGATCGAATTCTAGTTAGCAATCCAGACAATATCATCCTCATTCAGGAAATGGCAGATAGGAAGAGTATTCCCCGGTTTAACCTTGAGCCATTGGAATGCCAAATTCTTGGGATCCCATTGCGACGTATCAGTGTGGCATATTGCTACTGCTTTAGCTTTTGTACCATCTCCAGTACCCACCAAAGAAACCATGTATTCTTTGGTAGCACGTGTTTTGTGGCAGTAAAACACAGCATATTCATAGTTTTGCTTATGGCACACCACTGCATCCTCACCCACCATCTTTGCTCCTGCAATGCTATAGTACTTCTCGACTTGAGCAGTTTCTTTTTCCACCATTGTCGCGATTGCTTGCACATTATTATAATTTCCGAGCTTGGATGTGCTGAAATCTATTATTGACTCCAACGAAGTCGCGCAGTACTTCTCCTCTCCTTCGATTCCAGGCTTCTCGCAGAGCTCGATTATTTGCTTCATTATATCAGCCTCCGTGGAGTAGGTTTTCACCGAAAAGTGATCCAAGATTTGTTGCATCTTATTGGAAGAGAAGGGTATTGATTCGACAACCTGACGAGGTAGGAATGTAGCTGCATTCTTGCTTTTTGTGAAGTGCAAGTTCATGGTCATGCCGGGCTTCATGTCATTTTCCAAGAAGTAAGCAACTACGTTGGTGGTGTCATGAAATTGATCCTCATTATCACTAGCAGCTTCATAGTAACGTACAATATTGCTGATGTCTATGTCAATATTGGTGCCAACTCCTGCCTTTCTTTTCCCTGCATGCATCAACCTTTACACATGAGGTTTTCTTACAATTATTATTATTATATTTTTCCTCCATTTTTTAACCATGACATAAGGGAGTAAATGACTCGAATAAAATACAAGTAAATGATGTATTGTGTTTGGTATAAAATTTTGGAAGAAAAAGAAAAAAAAATAAGGAATTTGGAGGGATATAAATTAGGCACCACGATGAGTAGGTTTGCCCTCATTTTAAAAATAAGAGGAAATGGAAGGAAAAAATTATAAAGTTTAATTAAACTTTAATTCTGATTTTGTCATTAGTTTTATAAAAAGATAAAATCTAAATACCATATGAGAGTGTTAGGTCTTTAACCTTTTCTTTGTGTTTATGTTGTCTTTTTGACTTGAATGATGTTAATTAAGCACAATCTTTTAAGTTTGTCTTATCCTTCTTAGCCATATATATATATATTTTAATTGTATGTCAAAGAGTATGCTGATAAATTCATGAAAAATATAATTAAGAGTTCGTTTGGATAGACATATATGACAAAAATGAAGAGTAAATATAACATTAGTTATGAGAAAATATAGAGTACAACAATACCTTTTATTCATGTGTTGATAAACTATGAATAAATAGAAAGGAAATGATAAAGAGAGAGAGGAAACTATTTTGACTAATTTAAATATCATGCCCTAATGTTAAGATGGGACTCAATTGTCTTTCAAATTTTATTCTTTAAAATGTTAAAAGTTATTTTCAGTATTATGAAAGTATCAATTAAGTGTAACATTTTCTCTCCAAATCTTCTGAAGGATAGCATATATATGAGAGATGTGGACGGTCAAACAATCACTCAAAATCTCTCTCTTTTATTTTTTATTTTTATAATATATATATTTTCATGGCCTCAATGTCAAACCAAACATGAAAATCAAGTCCTTTCATTTTTTTTCTTTTCTTTAATTTCCTTCCAATTCCATCAATCCTTTGAAACCAAGTGTTAAGATCATCATTTTCTTTCTTTTCTCTCATTAATCAATCAAACACTATAGGAGGATTCTTCCATTTTTCCCTACTCCTATTATACCAAACATAGCCTTGGTCTAACCTTGAAGAAGGGGATAAGTAACTGATGAATATATATAATGTGTGTATATACACATATACTGATATATACTTCATAACTTTTCGTTTCATTTGATGGTTGACTCAGAGAGGGGATGTATCTCACAATTTTTGCTAATCTATGGCTAAGAAAACTTTAAATTTTTGGAGATACAGGTGTAATGTCTCCTACAGTTCCTTTGGAATTCTGTTAAGAGTGATCAGATTATATAAGGTTAAGTTATAAATTTTATTTTTGAATTTAAAAAAATAAATTCTACCTACCTCTCCTGCGATTTATCAATATCTCTTAAATAGGCCATGTTGATTTTATAATATCACTTATCTCTCTTGTTAGTGACGACTTCAGTCTAACTTAGAATCAATAATGTATTATTTTACTGAATTGCACGTAAAATGTTTGGTGTCAATTTTAGACATTAAAAGAGCAAAATTAACCTTTTATCCAGCTAAATAAATTATCTTTTCAATCCTTTTTTTTATTTTTTCTTTTTTATTTTCCCAATTAAATCACGTGGAAATAGCGGTATAGATTATAAGATGAACCAGGGTGCAGAAGATCCATGATAGCTTTTGGCATAGGAGTGTTTGGCAACACTGACTTCCAGTAAGCTTCAGGAGTCAGAGCTGCATGGATTGCCACCAGTGCCAGCTGCAACAAAAAATAGAAATGCACTCAATTTCTCATACTATGGTTTCAACAACAAACAAATACAAGATTTACCCAAAAAAGAAGAAGAAACAAATACAATACCTTTCAAAAAAAAAAAAAAAAAAAAAAAGCCATATTATATTTATACATGTCTATGAGGGTGGCCTTGATGCAACTTGATGTTACCCCTATTGTAACAGGGAGCTCATGGGTTCTAAATTTAAAACACCACCTTCGCAGTGACTGAAATATTGTGCACGGGTTAGTCCTTATTCATATAATATATATATATGGAAGTTTAGAAACTTACTGAAAGAAATGCGAAGATGGGTAGGAAATGGAACTCCATTAAAGCTTCAAGAAAGAGCTATATATATATGATGAAAGAGATTAGAGTAGAACCTGAAATCAAAGATTATATGGAAAGAAGTGAAGTGGGATATTGCATTATTTATAAGCGAACCTACCGTCAAGAGTAAAGGTGCAGTTTGGTTGACACAAGAAAAAAGAAATGAATGATACAATAGGAGTAGGTGTTATTATTTTTCCAATCTTTGTTTTCAACTTGGTACTTTGGACTTGAATGGTATTTAACACAATTTTAATATTTGTTTTATCACCTTTTTATCTAAGTATATTCGTCTTTCAAATGTGAAAGAATGTAGCAAAAATTTCATTAAAATAATTTTTTATTTATTTATCTCACCAAAGATGATTAGTGTTAAAATTATCATGTCCTTTCTTTTTTCCTCATTATTATCCTTACCAGTACTTCTTTTCATTCTTTTTCTTTTCTTCTCTTTTCTTTTTTCCCTGATGTTAGACCAAACATAGCTTAAGGAGTCAGATATTTGCTACTTATGCAAAACAAAAAATAAAAGCAACACATCACATGTGTTTTATTATCTCAATTCCCAAAAACATTAAAGGCCACGTGCCTGGTGGGGAACTGCAGTCATGCCAAGGGCCCGATACTCAAGGACGGAGTCAATAAAAGTCCGGGAGAGCACGTGCTCCTTGAGTTGTCCGCACTCTATAATATATGTGGTGTGAAAAAAATTATATATTACCTCCTAAATTTTGTGATTCTTAAAATTATTTTTTTTATTTTTTTGTTATTTTCTCTTTTTACTTTTCAAATTCCTTAAATTTCCTCAATTGAAACTCATCAAAATTTCCTTCCTTAAATTGAAACTCTTTAACTTTTTCCTTTTAAAATTCTCTTATATATATATATATATATATATATTTTTTTTTTTTTTCTTTCGTTTTCTACTTTTACTCTTAAAATTTTTCTTTTTTACGTGCATATTTGAATAATTTTCTTCTTTTATGTCTTTTTAATTTTATAGTTGTTTTATGTCCTCGGAGACAGTTCAGTAATAATCAATCTTGGATCAATCTTAATGCTTTCAACCCTGAATTTATGATATATTAATTGGTGTCTAGAGCAATCATGACTCCAGTCATTAAAAAATATTTTTAATTAAAAGAACAAATAATGTTGATATAGTTAATTGGAAGACATCTCTTTTTTAGTCCCCACCACGTGATCTCGACAACTTAATAATTTATCTCCTGAATTATGAAAAATCAACTTTCCAAGCACCTACTGTACTGGATAGCAGATAAGCAACTTAATAATGTAGAGTCTTACATTATTGCATACACTACTGTACTGGATAGCAGATAAGCAAAACTATTGAAAGGTCTTTGTCGGTACAAGAATCCTAAATTCTAACTATTCAAGCACCTACTTCATTTACTTAAATAGTTTTTAAAAAATAATTATTTAACAAATGATAATTATGACCAACCACATCAAATTCGGTAATAATTCGAGAATTTTTTTTCGATTCCCTATCATTACTCATTAATTTTTGTATCCTTTCACTCAAGAACGATTATGGATATGTTATTTGTGTTATATGCGATTTTGTTTTAAAATTATATACCTATGCTATTACTCTCCCCTTCCCCCTCCATAATTTCCTAGGCCCGTCCGTCCATATTTCCACTGCCAATTATTATTATTATTTTTTAATGACATAATTGTCGCTAAGAATTATTTGGAATTTTTTTTTTTTTTTTTTATCTCAAAAGTATTCTAATAATTCACTTTAAAGAGAAAATTGATTGTTATTTTATTAATAAAATTAAATAAAGAGAAGAATATAAAAATGAAATACGAATATCACATTATTACAGTATTGATTATAAAAATTTGAATCTTTCTTTACCCTTTTAATTGCTCTTTTATATGATCTCATTATATCAGTAGCCTGTAATGTATTCATCCAATTTTCTGGAAAAATGCAAGTGAAGTGTATTATGGGCTGGTCCGAGCCCAATCTGATCTCGGTGAATTTCAATTGAATTGGGCTTTTGAATCAGATAATGGGATTACATTGGTCTGACCTTAGCTCATCCAAGCCTTCATAACTTATAGCCCGACTAAAGTAGTAGAAAGCTTTATTCGAGATATCGAGCTTTTTAGATACTTTTCCAGGCCTTAATGGGCTAAAAATATATTGGATCACCGCATTAAATTTTCCCTCCATTTTATTTTTTTAGGTTAACAAAAACATTTTTATATATCTATCAAATCAAGAACCCTCTTTACAACTAATCAAAGATTCAATATATCCTTGAGAACATATATTCATCGACAATGGATCAGATGGATGAAATCGCACAATAATGTGACAATCACCTCCAAATATCCCCATCTGCCCAACAGATTCAGACCTTCTCAGACCACCATAGCTTCCCCAACTTCTGCACTAGAACAGCATAGCAGAAGAAGAAAGAAGCAACATGATTCCTCAGCACTAAACCCCCACCATTGGTGTTAGACAGCGAGCAGAATAATGCATCTGCTTTCCACATTCCTTCCCTCCTTGATGCTCACAATTTTTCTCCAAACACGTCTGCACAGTTAAGAATATTAATCCAGTGAGCAAATTGAAGCTGCTTAAACGTGCAAGTTGGGTGGGTCAAAACAAATAGTATCATAGTTGATTTTCAAAATGGAGAGCGAGACATGTGGGTCACATCAGAAATGGTCTTAAAAAATGAAGAGTGGGTCCCGAGCGTCTCAAAATGAAAGAAATTATTAAGTAGTGCAGGCCAATGGTGTGCTGACACATAAACAAGTGTGTATATCAACGTGAACTCACTTTTTGCTTATGTGTTTATGTGTGATAGGCTGGATTCAATAGTTCGGACTATGTAATAAATTCTCTCAAAATGGAGAGGGGACAACTCGTTTCGTGGGCAAGTTGTTTAGCTTTCTAAATTTGAGATCTTTCAATATGAATTTTAAATTAGTATTTCAGATTAGTGCTGTAAATTAATCTGATGAGACTGGTATTATTGTTGATTTAGAAGTATCTCCGGAAGCTTACTTACACTTATGATTCTTCTAATATTTATTCTTTTGTTCTGAACTATATACTGAAGTGCTAGATCACAGGTGTCGCAGTAAAAGGAACAAAATTAAAGGATGATTAATATCATGTCCAAAAGAGTGGGGGAGAGTGTTCGCGAACAAGAAACAAAATTAACAAATAAAAGACAGTTTAGAAAGTTAGAGAAAGACAATTATGGAGTAGAGGACAAGGACAACAATGTGAACCTTCCTTCCTTTTATTTGAAAGATTACTAGTATTGGAGTTCACAGGTAAGCATGGACATCCAGTAGTATAGGCTAGTCTTACTTTTGAAGAAATGTATTAGCTTTCTGGTGTTTAATCACTAATGTGGGTAAAAGACACTGCTCTCCAAGTGTCATTAGAGCTAATTGTGATAAAGTGGGGGGCTTGCCGGCTTGAGAGTTCCACTTGCTGCCTAACAAAAACGCTTTATTCCACTATCTCCCACTTGTCCTTGTACCTCTGCCTTCACCCAAATGAGACTTAATGATTAATAGCTAGGGATGGTGACAAAAGGTGTAGGAAGAGAAGAAGATGCCTTCTCTGGACTACTTGTAACTAGACCATGTTTCATCTTGTCCTTTCTGTTGAAAAGTAGAACTGTAGAGGATATATTTCCTAAATGCAGTTGATGACATGGAGAGATCATTCTAGTCTGTGCTTTGAATCAAAACAGAAGGTACATGATGATTCATGTGGGTTAGTGAATTAAAGGCCACTCTAGAAACTACACTTACTAAATACTCGTGGGAGGAAGTTGGGCAGACTGCAGACAGTTTCTTGACTGGAAACTGCACAGAGGGTGCCCTAACCAGAAGAATAAACAAAGTAAATTTAGCTTCACGGAACCTAGAAATCATGTTGATTTACCAACGTAGTGTGGAATCCAATCTTTGAAGGTCTAAAATAAAGACGGAGTGTCATAATAAGCCAATCGCCTGCCTGAGGATGGTGATGTCATTGATTTGCGACAAAGTGAGCCTTCTACAATAAGGAGTTGAATTCTCCATGTCTAGTAAGGTTGTTTGAGAGAGAGAATTTTCATCACAAGTTTAGTTGACCGTCATATTTAATTTAAGATATTAATTAGAATCTCTTAAAATTTGATTTAAGATATTAACACAGGAATCAGAAGTACATTTTGATAGTAATATACTGATCTACATGTTTGAAAAAACAAAAAAAAAACGTACATGTTTGAAAAAACAAAAAAAAAACGTAGGTGAGCAACTTTGAAATTTGATTTGAATGTTTTTTACTCCTCTTCATCTATTCCAGCGTTTGAGTTGGTGAAGAGTCTGCGAATTCTTACTTGGAAAAAAATTGGTGGCAAAAATTTGTTATTTTTCTTTAGTTTCCTCCAATACATCAACAATATTCTTACTAAAAAATGTTTCGCTTAAATCAACCATTAAAAAAAAACTTAGCATTTTCACTTTGTAAAATAGAGAATAGTTAAATTAAATATATAATGTTGATGTTCATCCTAAAAGTATTTTATTTGCACATGCGAAAAGTATGACAATTAACATCATGCAAAAAGTATGATAGGCTCAAGGTATTCTTTCACAATTAAGCAGCAAGTGTTTTCTACAATTTGAGTGCTACAAAGGCACACCAACAATGCACTTGTTTGTGCCAATACTGGCCTTACTGTATGATTATTCCTATTGAAGTGCAGTTATGCTAATCAACACCACTGCCAGAATCATGCTCGTAGTTGGGCTTCTGGTGGAGATCAATATCTGTCTGGTATGCATGAGCCGCACGTGACTCTAACCTATGCTTGGAGGAGTAAGGACAGATAGGTTTTAGAATTTTCCTTATTATAATGAATATGAGTAGTTTGCAATTTTTCCTTTTAATTAGTATTAGGTTCTGTTTGCCTATAAATAAGGTCGGTGTCTTGCAGCTTTTTGGGACAGAGTATCCGTCATTGAATCCATGCCTAATTATACTGTTTATCAAATATTTAATCCTAGAATTCAATTTGTTAAGAGGTGTAATTTTTGTTGAAATTTCAAAATATAAATTAGAAAAAGTTACCTTAGTAAAAATCAGTCAATTGATTCTTACTTGGAGAAAAAAGAAATAATATTATTAAAAAATGAAAAAAACTAAAATAATTAAGTGTTCCAGTACTATACATTATTAACAACTGCACGAATAACATTTTCTATTGCACACCAATTGAATGAAACATAATATATGTATAGCATATTATATTTGGTTGGTTGGATTATTATCGGATTGACCATAATTGTATACGATTTGTTAATTTATCGGATTATCATATTCAAATTGTTAATTGGATTAAATATTCAATCCATCCATATCCAATTTACTGGACCGGATTCGGTTTAAAATCCAATCCTTTGACAGGCCTATGTGCTAGTGGTCATGACTTACCATCTGGTATGGCCTAGCATTTATGGCTGTCATTTTATATATGTATCAAAGAATATTCTCATCTACTCATTTGGTTTTCAGATGTAGGCTGCTTCCTTTTCTAGTAGATGGAAAGGTGCTCTCATCTTTCTTTATGCAACCATCTTTATTGCAGTTGTGATGTTTGACCACAGAGAAACTGAAATCAGGAAGCTTCTCCCATTTTCGTTGGAGATTGTCTTACTATTGTGAATTTCTAAGTGGATTCCCAATTTTTTTTTTTTTTTTTTTTTTTTCCTTCTTACTAGAGTTTTATGGTTAATTGTGATGATGGAACTTTGAAAGGTTTTGCTAGAGCGATCTATTAAATTCCAATATTGGATGAAACTTTTTTGTTTGATAATGGCTTCGTTTCTTGACATGAACCAAAAAAAGAAGAAAGAAAGAAAGAAAACAGAGAAGTTGACTATGGATTGTTTTCTTCAATTCCTTTATCATCCAAAATCAGTTTACCTGGCAACTGAATTGTGTCTACCCACAGAGAATGCTGATTTACTTGGCTTGTATTGATTGCTTAGTGTTGTGTTGCAATCCTGAGTCATTTTAAATTTTCATATTTTCTTGTTAATAATCAAACAGTATAACTGTGCTACTTACATGAAGGGTGTCCTCTAATATGCTTATTTTTATGTTACTATAATGGTTTATGTTATTGACTTTCCATTTAGAGTTGAATTGAATTGATAAATTACACAAAGACATATTGATCCTTTTTCTAATACTTGAAGCATTGTGGGTTGTAAAAAATATGGTTCTTGTTCACACACAGACACAAGACATATATGTATATTTTCTTTTATTGATTTGCAAGCATGGTAAAAAAAAAAAAAAAAAATTGGAGCCTTGGTGGTTGAATTTGAAACCTTTGTGATTATATGTCTTCAATCTTATTTTTCTTTTTCTTTTTTTCTTTTTTCTTTTTTTCTAGTAGATTTCTTGACCAGCTAAGGTGAAGGTCTCATAGCCTTTTTTTACACCAAATAATCTCATTTATAAATGAGCATGATGAATTCAAATTATTATTATATCTAGCAATACTCTCTTCTTACCTGGTATATTGATTTTCTAACTTATCCGGAACATTGGTTAATTAGTGTCGTTGCAAGAAACCTGTTATGATTTTCCTTTGTTTGCTCAATAATTTAACCTTGTTTCAATTATAGACTCTGTTTGGTTGGCTGATACAGTGGGTAAACTGGAAAAAGAAGAGGAAAATAGCAAGAAAAGCAATTACCCTAGTGGTTCTGTTTTGGTTAAATAAAATGTAGTAGAATTTTCTCAAAATATGTTCAAGAGCAAATATATATTTTTCTTTACATTGCATCTTCTTTTGCTCCACTAAATCTGCAAACAGAGCCTTACAGAAAATTTTAGTTGTTAGTCAAATAAGGGCTTTGTTTTAAGATTGTAGTCTAATGTAATATTTGTTACATTAGACACTCTGCCATACTGAATACAGAAATAGCACAAAGATGAAAATATCTCTTATTCTATAAAACGATGCATCACACAGATACTCGTCTTGTTCCATAACATATGCATCATAACATTTTTTCGAAAGTTCAAACAAACACACGTACACACCTATAATATGTCCCTAACCGGGGTTAGGCTCAAACTGTCACGATATAAACTCACACACACCAAATGAGTACTGGTGGATGGAATATTGTGTATGTTTTGCAGATCAAATTCTGATTAGCAACCCAGACGATATCATCCTCGTTAAGGAAATGACAGATAGGTATAGTAGTCCCCAGTTTAACCTTGAGCACTTGGAAGGCCAAATGCTTCGGGTTCCATTCTGATGTATCAGCATGGCACGCGGCTACTGCTTTAGCTCTTGTCCCGTCTGCGCCCACCAAGGAAACGATGTAGGCTTTGGTGGCATGTATTTTGTGGCAGTAAAACACAGCATATGGATAGTTTTGGTTATGGCACACCACTGCATCCTCACCCACCATCTTTGCTCCTGCAATGCTATACTTCTGGAGTTGAGTTTGAAACGAAGTCGTGCAATACTTCTCCTCTCCTTCCATTGCAGGCTTCTCGCACCCTTTGATTGTTGTCTTCATTATATCAGCCTCCATCGAGTTGGATTTCACCGAAAATTGATTCAAAATTTGTTGCATCTTATTGGAAGAGAAGGGTATTGATTCAGCAATCTGACGAGGTAGGAAAGGAGCTGCATTCGCGGTTTTTGTGAAGTGCAAGTTCATCATCATGCCGGGTTTCATGTCATTTTCCAAGAAGAAAAGAGGTGAGTCCTTTCCTGCGGTTCCTTTCCCTAATCTCATCCAACTGCTCTCCTCTTCAATCCGTTCTGCAAATTAGCAACAGGAAAAATAAATATATTCCACGTGCTGGTGTGCATACATTATTCTTTCGAAACCTGTACATCTCACAGATAGGGCTCCCTTTTTAATTTGGCCTTAGAATTTTTTTATTACCATTTTTTTTTTTCCCGATTATTGATTACCAATTTACCATCTATATATTATTTATGCTTTTTTCTTATGCAATTTTATCATCTTGTTAACCTAGTTTAGAAAAGTTTCGTCTTATTTTTGCTATTGTTTAAAAATTTGGGAGAGCTGAATTTACTGCCCCCCTAGGCTTGTGGAAAGTGTAGTATTGAAAATCCCTTCAGGTTTTGTTACAATATTTTCCCTCCATTTTTTCGACCAAGAAATAAGTAAATGACTCCAATGGACTGAGATGTAGATTGAACAAAATGCTTGGGATGATTTCAATTCTTAGTCTAAGCTTAAAAGGGGGATAAGTAACTGATGAATGTATAAATCTAAGGGCAAGGGAGCCTTAAGTTTTTGGGAAAAAAAAATGCTGGATCTCTCTCTCTCTCTCTCTCTCTCTCTATATATATATATATATATAAGTGATGTTCAGTAAAGAAAATGAATTGTTGATTTCCTCCAATTTGGACATTTTTCTTACTCAGATACTGTACAATTGTACAAAACGTGACAACGTTATCAAATATGTTTCTGTCAATTGTTTATGTTTTTTGCTGATTTGGCAACAAAAATATTATAAGACAAACCAGGGTGCAGAAGATCCATGCTGGCTTTTGGCATAGGAGTGTTTGGCAACACTGACTCCCAGTACCCTCCAGGAGTTAAAGCTACATAGCTTGCCACTAGTGCCAGCTGCAACAAAAAATAGAAATGAACTCCCTTTTAATGTACTATACATATGTACAAGGGCAGCCTTGGTGCAACCGTAAGATTGTTACAAGGACGACACGAGCCTATTAATAAATTTACATATAAGAGAAACAAACACATAACTCAAAAAAAATAAAAATAAAAAAATTCCTAATTATTTTCAGGGGTTGTGGAAGTTTAGAAACTCACAGAAAGAAATGAGAAGATGGGTAGGAAATGGAACTTGAGAAGATGGGTAGGAAATGGAACTTTATATTGACATCTTGACTTCTACACTTTACTTTCTAGGGATAATTGTGTCATTTTCTTTATTAACAAAATGAAACATAGTGCAGGGTGCTTTTGTGGAATGCAAATTATTACACCGTCCCATTTGGTTTTAGCCCCCACATTTTGGTAATACCTTACTATAATACAAACACATTATGTAATATGTAATTTTAATCTTAATTAGAGAGTGTAATTTTAATATTTAAATTTTGAGTAAAGTTTTGTTAAGTTATTTGATCTGTTAATGTTTTCTATGTTAATTATTTAGAAAAAAGGTTAAATGTCTTAAATTAATGGTGATTAAGATTTCAAATTAGAAGAACAAGTTTGCCCTTCACGAATAAAATATTTCTAACTCTTGACTACAATTCAAAAACATTTAAAGTGGTTATGGTAAAAAAAAAAAAATGAAAAAATTTACCAGACAAAAAAGAAAAAGGTGAAAAAAACTGTTTGAAAGTAAAGTAGGTTTTGTTGAAGAATAAAGCAAGGAAAGATTATTTACTAGTCAGGTTGGGCTCGGGCAAGCCCATAATTCATATGATAGGGCTTTAGCCTCAGATAGTGAGATCACATTGGGCTGGCCTGAGTTCAGAGCCTAGACTGCCTAAGATACTTGTCCAGGCCCAAATGGGCTTGCTAAACCCAAAAATATTGGCCTCCATTTTTAAGCATTGTAACCTAATGGATCACCAGGTAAATGTATTAAATTTGCCCTACCATTTATTCAGGTTAATAATAGTACCCAAATTCAATTCACAACTAATGAATTTGAGATTTGACATTCATTCAAGGGTTTGAATTTTAATTGCTAAGATGGAAGGAAGAAATATTTACTAATCTGCACAATTGTTTTTTGGGGTTTTTTTTAGTTTAATTCCATAATTTTGTATAGGTTTTGACAATGGTCCCTTTTAAAAAAAAAACATTAGAAATTAATCCTATTTTTATATATTTTAGTTAGCCAATAAAACAACTTTAACTTTAAAAGTGCATTTTCTTTAAATTCTAAAAATACCTTTAATTTATTTTCTGCCAAACTACCATAACTGAACCCTAAATTCCAAAAATAGCTTCCCTGGCTACCATCAAAACCTTACCTCTGTCTTGTTGGCTGCAACTCGTTCTCATTCGTCGGTCATTCACAACTTCAAAATGTAATCTTCAATCAAGTTTTGACTTATGCAATCTTAAAAAAATTCAGATTGTGAGATCCTTGGTGTTAGTTCTCCAAATTGAACCTTGAGTTTTTTTTTAATTTTTTTATTTTCCGTTAAGTTGTTTCTTGTTTCAGGGGTCTCACTGTTTTGTTTGATCAATGCCTTGTACTTTAATGGTGTAAATGAAAACAAAATATATATAAAAAAATTTAATTGACTTTCACTGAAACAGTAGATGGATTACATATGGTAAACAATGATGTCTATTTTTTTTATTGGGTAAAGTTATTCCATTGAAGTTTGACAACAATTTCTTAAAATGAACTTTATATTTGGAATGACAAGAGTTTTTGTATTTTCTCATAATCCAACCAAATTTTTATTTATATTGCTGGAAAAGAATTTTTTTTTATATTGCATGGAAAGTTCCTATATGAAGAAAGAGGTGACAGCTAAAATCATGCCCCGAGAGTTTAATCAAAGGGATAATTTTGAAATTTTATATTAAAAAAAAAAGGCACTCTCAATTGTAACGTGGTTTGATGGATGGTGTGTTGACTAATTGAAATGTTAAAAAATAGGATCAATGTCTAATACTTTTTAATAAAAGGACCAATGTCAAAACTGATGCAAAATTATGAGATTTAACTCAAAAAAAACCATTGATTTTTCTTAGGGAGAAAAAAATAAAAATATGTTGAATGCACTTCAATTGGGTTTTTTCTGGATGTTTAGGGATAGCAACTAAACATTACTGTAGATTATAATATACGTCCAGAAAAATTAAAATATTATACTTGGTCATTGCTGGTTAGACCACGCCAGTTCCTGCCTGGCACTCTTCTGAAATGGATTAAGTGATCTCGAGCTACTAATCCCCGAATTGCAAACCCCGTACGAGGAAGGAGTCACCACCATTCTCTCTTATGTGGAGGTACTCCTCTCCAGTAGGATGGGTTCCACCTCCTATATTGACCTCGAAGCTCTCTCCTGCAGACATAGCTTCGATCTTGAAAAGAGACCTCTCATCTCGAGTCCGCCTACTTATGAGACTCTGAGTACGTAGCAGGGACAGTGGTCTCGTGGAGTCTGGAAGGCAGAGCCCCAAGAGACCTCTCTCCCCAATTTCTAGCATCAGGAATTTGAGGTATAGTAGATAGGTGGCTGGAATCTAAGAAAACGCCTCGAGGATAGGTTAGCATGAGATGGAAAGGATGATTGTTACTTGGGACCAAGCTCCTACCAGAGGGCAGATGGTGCATTAAATGCACCAACCTGCCGATATGACCCACATAAAATGTAGGAGGTGACCCTTCCCTCAAACCGAGATATTAACCGCCTTGGGCCACCTACCGGTGTCCCATCTGTCAGAGGCATGACCATTAGACCTATAGTTAAAAGAGGAACTATCCTCGTAATCGGAGGTCCTTAACTGAAAGAACTAGTATAAATAACAGAAATAATCAATCATTAAAAGACAGACCATCTACTCCCGAGCTCGAGCTACCTGGTACTAGTTTTTGCCTTCCCTCTCTTAATCTCACTAGGAAAGAAGAATCTTTCGTGTTGCTTAGATTCTCTTTTGAATGTTAACTTCAGCATTCTTGACCTACGTAAGAATAATTTCCTCACTTCAAAGAATTTTCATCAACATTTTTAAGACAATTGGTTTATTAAATTATATTAAATCATTAGCTCCTAGTCTCCTACTAATTGTACTTTGGGTGTAGGAATCTACTAGATGATTGGCAATGAATAGATTCGTGCCTTTTGGGTTGAAGAAACACAACAAACTCTTCAGCCGAATAAGTTATTGTCCAGTGAGATTCTACTATGATCATTCCCAAACCAAACCACAAAATTAAAGTTTCATGTCAAATAGATGGAATAAATTGGCTTACACAGTTTTTTTTAATCATTTTCCCTTAAAAAAAAAAATATCAAATGTCACTATGAAACTTGTATTCCATTACTTTGATATTAGTGGATAACAATATATCTATGTGCGTGTATATATTATATATATCTTCTTCTTCTCTTTTTCTTTTTTCTTTTTTTTTTTTTTTCTTTTTTTGTCTCTTTTACCTAAATTCGTAGTTTCTTTATCTTTCTTTTCCTTTTCTTTCTTTATTTTATTTTAAATTTTTTATAGAAAAAAGTCGTGGGCATCCCTTCTTCTGTCTAATCAAGCTTTTTAACTTATAATTGATGATATGTAACAATATATAAACATGATGCCATTCTGATACTGTGTGTGTATAGTTTTGTCCAATTGAATTGAGTGGATGGATGATACAAAGTTCACATTTCATTCCTTACAATAACCATGACTTGTGAAGTGTGCTTCAAGCTTTCGAAAGATTGCTAGTATTATAATTATTATTTTTATCCCTCTTGTCACACTAGACATTACTTTTATTTGTTCACAATGATACTTGATGATATAAACTGTCATTATTGTGTTATTTCAAAAGGTTTTAAATAAAAAGCTCTCTTCTGAACTTATTTAATACAAATCATTGGGGGTGGGCTGAGAAGACACCACAAAGCTTTCCATGTAGGTATATAAAAGCCAACCTGAACAAATTATAAAATACATGATCAGATCACATTTTAGAGAATCTTTGTGAGAACAACTTCTTGGGAATACTAGAATACATATATAATACAATCATCGTGCATCATACAAATTGGAATCACATAGATAGCAATTAATTTGAATGTAGTGAGTTAAAAGTTTTTTTTTTTTTTTTTTTTAATTTAAATGGTAGTTAATTAGTTTTGATCTTTCAAATAAAAATAGAAACATGTTTGGACAGACTAAGTTGACATTAGATATTCGTTTCGATACTCACCAAAGGTGAAGCCTGAACTTAAAATAATTTTGTAAATAGTCGGAAGTCTAAAGTGGGCTAACAGACGTGTTGATTCTTAATTATATAAAAAATAAAAATAAAAAACTAATTGTTTTCTATTTATTTTGAGTTCCTCATATATAATCAAAATTAAAGAGAATAACCTACCCCAAAGGTTCCTGTATCTATTGAAACTGTTCCTATGTAATGGAACATTGTGTTAGAAATTAAACTTGATATATTATATTATTATGTTAGACTTACTAAGTTACATTTGGGATGAACAAGATAACAATATTGAATATCTTTTGTTATGAAAATCACAAAAGTGAGAACTGATATATAAGCATGTATAATGGACTTATATATATACTATATTGAAAAAATGAAACTATGCATTTTTACTTTAATTATATATATATATATATATATATATATATATATATATCTCCTAAAATTGGAATTGAGGCACTGTTCCTAAAAGATAATTAATTAATTATTATTATTAAGTTATATTTGGCAAGAAATATATTTAAATGCCAAACCTTTATTTTTTATTTTTTTATGGGATACTTGAAAGCTCAACAATCTTCTTTAAAAGTTGAGAAAGTATCATTAAATTATAATATGTGGTGATAATTAATTATTATTGGAATGATTTGTTTTTGCGAAATCACTGGTTGAGGAATAAAATAGGCATTGAGGAAGAGGAAGCTGACATATAAGCACTTTGTATATTAAGCATTAAACTGTAAGTTTATATTATATTAGTCAACAAAAGACAAGTAAATATACTTAATTTACCTAAATTGTCAACTTATTGGCAGTATGAAATGTTCTTTCTGCATCATGTAAGAAAGTACTTTCAGAAAGCAAAAATGTAAAAGGAGAGTGAGAGAATAGTTTGTAAAATATCAGTCGTTTTTAAATTATACAGAAGACTTGTACCTAACTCTTTTATAGAGTCCTCACATCTCACTTTAAAGTTGCATTCTAAAGGGCGGAAAACTTCACAGTGAAGTACTCTATTTTTGGACTCTTTATGCTTGTTATCACATTAAACACCTTCAATTGTATACATTATCATTTCAAATAATTCATGTCCAAGTGCTCGAACTTTTATTAGGTACTTCCTAGAGTTGCTTCAGTACTTTTTCTTTTTAATTTCTTCATGAGCCTTGAAGCCCACTTAGTTCTGTGATGATTAGATTGATTTGGTTTTTATATTATAATTGTAATAAAGATTAATTAGGTTTCATGTAATGATCAGCTCTCCTTTCAAAGGAAAGGGTAGAGGGTTTTTGTCTCTTGAAAGTGTTGGGAGGGTTAGACATATGTACCGTTTCAAATTTGGACTTCCAATTCTCAATGTGTTCGTGTTTCAAGTTCATGACTTCCACGTCACCAGGAGTCGAGCCAGTGTATGGCCAGGGTAACTTGCCCTGGCCTGGCCCGGCCCTTGAAATTTTGTATATAATGTCCCCCCTAAAATTATTAGTTTTTAAAATTATCACTTATTTTTTTAGTTTTTTCCTAATTTACTCTTCAAATTCTTTTTTTTAAAAAAAGTTAAATTTCCTTATTAATATAAACTTTAATGGTTTCCTTTTTAAGTTGTCATTTTTCTTACTTTTTTTTTTTTTTTTTTTTTTTTTTTAGCCTTTTTCTTATTTTTTTCCCTTCTACTCCTTAAATAATTTTTTTTTTTCCTTAACATTGTGCCCCCCTAAACTAAAATTCTAGTTCACGTCACAATAGAATAATCTTACCGTATCATCATGGCTCACCCTCATGATAATTTACATGGTACATAGTGTCAAGAATGGTCTTTATTAGAATTAATTTTTTGTATGATATTAACCTCAGAAGGTCAATGGTTTTTTTTTTTAAATCCACAGGACCGAGACATGGTATTTGATTTTTTTTGAAATTTGATATTAGCCTCAGAAGGTCAATGGTGTTTTTTAAAAATCCACGGACCGGTACATGGTATTTGATTTTTTTTGAAATTTGATATTTACCTCAGAAAAAATAATGCATATCGAATCATAATCTAAAGTATGATAAGCACTATTAACTTCTGACAAGGAGAGCACAACCATTTTATAATTTTATTCAAAACCGAAACTAATTTTTTGATGGAAGAATTACTTCGGGCAACAGCAATTTGAGATGCTCTTAGGATATATAACAAAGATTAATTAGGTTTCATGTAATGATCAGCTCTCCTTTCGAAGGAAAAAGTAGCTGATTTTTGTCCCTCGAAAGTATTGGGAGGATTAGACATATGTCATACGTGAATACTATTTTCTTGTTTCAAACTTTAAGTTTCAGTTCTCAATGTTTTCTTGTTTCAAACTCATGACTTTCACGTCAAGGTAAAGCCAGTGTATGCCTGGGAACACTTGCCCTGTCTTACTCTTGAATTTTTTTATATAATGTCCCCTCTAAAATTATTAATTTTTAAAATTATCTCTTATTTTTCTAATTTTTTCCTAATTTACTCTTCAAATTCCTTTAAAAAAAGTTAAATTTTCCTTGTTAATATAAATTTTAATTGTTTCATTTTTAAGTTGTCATTTTTCTTACCTTTTTTTCCTTTTTCTTATTTTTTTCCCTTCTACTCTTTAAATAATTTTTTTTTTCTTAACATTGTACCCCCCTAAACTAAAATTCTGGCTCCGACCCTACATGTCATAATAGAATAATCTTACCGTAGCATCATGGCTCACCTTCATGATAATTTACTTGTATACACAGTGACAGAGTCAGGATTTCAAGTGAGGGGGACACGCTGTCAAATATATATATATATATATATAACAACTATAAAATTCAAAAGACAAAGAAGAAAAAAATTATTAAAATATAAAAGGAAAGAAAAATGAAAGAACTTTAAAAGGAAATAGTTGAAAAGTTTCAATTAAGGAAGAAAAAATTGACTTTTTTTACTAAGGAATTTTAAGGAATGCGAAGAATAAAAGAAAAGAAAAAATAAAAATATAATTTTAGGAACTAAAAATTTGAGGGGGGGCACTGTATAAATTTTTTCATATATATGAAATTTTTTTTAAAAATTACCACATATATTATAGGTTGTTGACCAACTCAGGGGGGCACGTGCCCCCCGTAGGCCTTCATTGGCTCCGTCCATGTATATACACATGGTACGTAATGTCAAGAATGGTCTTTATTAGAATTAGTTTTTTGTATGATTAATTGAGTTTGTTATGAACATGTATGGTCGAAAGATAAGAGATTAAACAAAAAAAGGGAATAATTTAGAGCCAGTTTGACAATCATTTTTGTTGTGTGTTTTGTGTTGCTATAGCAAAGCAAAGCAAAACATCACAACATGTTTAGTAATCTCTGTTGCCATGTGAATAGTATTCATTTGTTGTCAAAAGGTCTAAATAGAAAACGCCAAATTGGTATTACTAATTTTTTGAACAGTGGGCCCCAAAAAAACTCTAGCTAGCCTTTTTTTTAACCAGTCATTTTGTTAATCAATCGTGCAACACTTTTTATTAAATATATTTTCATATTTTTACTTTTAAGAATATTAGTTGACACTCACAAACATTGTTTTTGTTTTGGATGAAAATAGAAACTCAAAACGAAATGATTGTCGAGTGACCTAAAAGATTATGTACAGTTTTTGGTATTGAAGAAACAAAAAATATGAATTTTCTTAGAAATTTGCAGTATTACTATATATTATTAATTAAACATACTTTTAGAAAGTAAATGGTCAAAAATTATAAACTATCTTCATCAAAAAAAGTAAAGCAAGTAGGCCCTAAAACTACGAGCTTTAGTTAAAAATATTCAGATCAATGTTTATTCTATTTGTCATTCAGTCTGTGTGCGATGATTGTATTAGCACATGTAACACAGTTCATAAGCATGACTAAGTTCAATTAATAGATGATTAACTATATCATTTGGTAATCTTAAATTAATGGTGGTCTCTTAGAGGAGCAGTAGTAGACTTGCTTCTAAACTTTTCAGTTGGAGGAAGAGCCACAAAGGTGTTTTCCATGTAATCACACACATAGTATACACAATGCGTGTGTGTTTGGGCTTTGCTTTATGTTTTTATAACCATAAACACTCTATCTTTCGTTTGTCCGTTTCAATATTACTAATCTAACTCTAAAGTGGTGTGATTGCTAGATTCTTCAACTTAATTCTTTAACCCTCTTTTTCAATTGTTTAATGTTGGTTACATGAACTGTGTGTTTTTTTTTTTAAGATGATATTCTCAACTAAACCACGTATCTTTTTAAACTATATCAACTTTTGTTAGTTTTAATCACATGACAAATTAACGTAATCAGTATTTTTTAATTTTATTTTCACTTAGTGCTACTTTATAATTAATTTCACAAATGTGGCTCGTTTCTAATTTTAATTTAATTTTTTTGTTTTGTTTTGCAAACGGTCATTTTAAAATTTATATTTGGGTAAACTAACTTCCAGAAATCACTTGATAACTCAGAATTGAATGGGAGTTTTAACCAATAATAAGTACACATTTAAACATGTACACGCGTACACAAGTACACTTATGTATATAGTACAAGTTATGATCAAGTTTAATTCTACGTAAAAAGGGTATTGGAGGAGAGAAGACCGATGTTGTATTTGGGTGCGTTGAATCGGCGTTTTGGATTTAAAATTGAAGGAAATTTAGTTCAAAATTTGGAAGCACCAAATTTAGAAAAGGAATTGGATGAATTCTGTTGGACACGAACCTTAATTTGGATATATAGTTAAGTTGTTGCTCCTTGCTATCAAGTTTCGCGAAGTCCTACTCTACTAAGAGTACAGCTGGGAATTAATTTTGATGAAACAGAGGTCACTTAATCGATTCTTTCCAGGTAGCCCAATGTGTGTTTTGTGACAAATGTGTGCGTTCCGGTAATAGTCTCACCAAAGAGAAATTATTAGATCGCCATGTACTATCATGCCAAATTCAATCAAAACCTACATAGAACTGAATGCCATACAGAAAGGTATACTTCCTTTGTAGGTTTTTGTGTGTGTGTGTGTGTGTGTGTGAAAACATAGGGGTACTCTAAGTAATGGTTTCATGTTATGATAACTATTGATGGGGTGCAACACTAAACTGATTCTGCTGGGGAAAGGAAACAGGGGAGGACAAAATAGAGGTTTGCAAATTCCAAAAACAAGATTAAAAAACAGGCCATTCTCAATCAACTCCACTTTGCTGCATTGTGAGATGAACATGACTTTTATCTATGGTAGAGGATGGAACAGAGAGAATGGTGACAAATGAACATAGACATTGAGTTATGCTACATAACCAGTGTTTCGGCTCCAGCATTCCATCCAAAATGCTGGACCTAATCTACAGTAGGATCACTTCGATTGGCCAAGCTTTACGGTTGAAAGTTAGGTTATAAAATCATTTACCATAGACAAGATAAAAAGGAAAGAGCCTAAAACAGATCCCACTCTAGGTCATCAATGATTTTAATTATTTCATTATGAAAAGTAAGTCTTAACAAGTAAGTCTGAATATTATTACTCAAATAAAAATGTTACCGTCACTGATTTGACCTAATCCAAGCACGTTGTCGTGGCTTAGCATTTGCAAGTATTCTAGTCAAATTGGTGCAGCACCAAAGTGTTGATTGAGTGGGGGCTTGACTTCTTTGCATATCTTACCACCTTAAATGCTTATCATAACATCATTATCACCGCAATTACTTTTTCTGAGAATAATTCCTTTTGTTGCAACAGTTGAGGCTATCGATGCCTCCGTGAGTAGTCGGTCGGTAGTCCCAATTGTCACAACAAAACGTTGGATTCATATTCTAATACAATAGTGACATGATGTCTTTATCGTTTTTTTTAACACCTCCAATAAACAGTGGTTAATAAGAATTTGTACACAATAATTAATAAGATTGACTCTCTTTTCTATCAGAGAGTCTATCTTGCACCTTCAATATCTCAACACCAGAAGTGTTTTCTAAGAAATTGCATCACACCAGCTGGAATATAACTCCTTACTATTTTTTCTCTAAATTGAACTTATATTTTCATGAAATTTATCATTTTAATAACTTGTTTAAACACAAACAACTCATTATCACTTATCCAAAAAAAAAAAAAATGGCTCATTCTGCAGGCAAGTCCTGGCTATGGACGAGACAGTGGAAGGACAAAATTAGAAATAAACACAGATATTGATATTATTTTACATAAATTTGATTGCTCTCAAGTTCAAACTCCATCAATTACTCTTCTGTAACTCATTTGTCATTACTTGCACCAAACAATGGTCTCATTTTAAATTCAAAGATATTCAATTTGTTCCCACTTGGCAACCAATGATCTATGAGATTCTTCTTCAAAGTAGATTTATATATTATATAAAAAAAGTAAATAACAATTACACTATTGAAACTTTGAAAGCCCAATTTTTTTTTAATTTTAGTGGAGAACCTCTCTATTTAATTGATTATTTTCTAACCTACTTTTCCAACTAAATTAATATTAAAAAAGAGTTTGCTTAGGATTGAAGTGGAGGAGGCCATCTTAGTTAGTACCATTTATTCAATTGTTTAACCGGCCCAAACTGGCTTGTGCCCAACCCACTCTCAATTATCCAATGAGAATCACACCACTTATACTTCAAACTTAATGCATGACTACTTATCTTATCTTAGTTTATTAGATTATTAGATTATTTACTTAATGACGGCTTATCCCAATTAAGATTATTCAAGGATGTTGGTTGCTCTCAAGAAGTGAAGTCCCTCGAGGATTTATTTATTATTAAACCACCCAATGATTCTTCTCTAATAAGTCCATCCAACAACAACAGATGGGTGGTGGATGTTCACTATTTGTTTGGAATGGAGGTTTTGTTGGTTAATAGTAGTTGTAACTAGGACAACTCTTTTCTATTTCTCATCACCCTTCAACCATGAACTCTTTACTTGTTTAATCACCGAGACAGTTGATTAAATAAGGAGAGCTCATATTTATTGAAAAAAATAAAATAAAGAGAGTTGACGGCTCTTGTTAAACCAACTCTCTTAATGGTATAATAAATTGTCAACCAAGTCTCTTAATGGTATAATAAATTGTCGTTTATTGAAGGTTGAAAATTTACACTAACTCTTTGATTTTATAATCTTACTTATCTCTAATTTGATAATAGCATAATGTTATATATTTTACCATTTCATCGATGAGATGTTTGTTGTCATTAAGATATTAGAAGGACAAAATTGACATTTTATTCATTTTCTACATATCAACAGATTCTGTTTGTCATCCTTAGGTGCCCTAAGGGTATGGGGAATATATTACATAAATCACAACATCAGGGAAAGTAAGTAAAATTATAAAATCATGATGGATCTATGTGAGATATTGACAAATTAAAATGGAGTGTACGTGAGATATTGACAAACCTCATAGAAGATAAGTAAAATTTACCCTTTAATTTTTTCTTATAACATTATTAATTAATTTAGAATTATATATATCATACCAAAAATTTCTATAATTTTGTTTTATTTTATCTATATATATATATATATATATATAAAGTACATTCCAAGGAATAATGTTACGAAGAGAGTCCTCTTAACAAAAGAAAAGCGTAATACTTATTTAATTATTAGATTAAAAGAATTATTTAAACTATCTCAATTCATTGAGAGCGCATTTCTCTTGATACCATTACTCTTCCATTACTCACCACTTGGCCTTGCCAAACCACTATATATAGAGTTCATGAATTCAATTCAATACTCTCTTCTGAACAAAAAGAATATATATGAACATATCACCACCTCTACCTCTCTCACACACACACAATGACACACACATATGAATGAATGAATGCCGATTTAGGCCCTTGGCATTCGCTCCTCCCACCGGTTAATCCTCCATTAGATTCAAAATCAACCGATTCTCCATCTCCACAAGTGGATAAGAACCTTTTATCCACTCCATCAATTTAGGAGCTAAATCTCTCTCCAAAGATAAGTCCTTAGAAATCCACCATTCCCCTAATCTCTCTCAAACTTCAGTTACTATTTAGTTATACAGAGACAGAGTTTCTAGAGAGAGAAAACTCTCTTCACTCTCACCTATCTGATTAATCAACCTCACCTTATTTTCACCAAATGGGTATCCTCCATTATTGCTCTTCTCTCTTCAAATCACTCACTTAGAGAGAGATATTTACATATACAAAAACATATATACATATATATATATAGTTATATCAGTGTTCATGGACTATCTGAGAGAAATAGAGGGAAAAAGAGCTCATGATCATCATCATCAACCTCGACGTGTATGTGTTCCCGGTCCGGTCATCGTTGGAGCCGGACCTTCGGGGCTGGCTGCAGCGGCTTGTTTGAAAGAAAAAGGCATAGTAAGTGTAGTTCTAGAGAGAGAGAGCTGTATAGCATCTTTGTGGCAGCTCAAGACTTATGATCGCCTTAGTCTTCACTTACCAAAGCAATTCTGTGAGCTTCCACTCGTGCCCTTCCCAGAAGAGTTCCCAACTTACCCTACAAAGCAACAGTTCATACACTACTTGGAACAGTATTCTAAGAGGTTTGACATTAGGCCGGTTTTTAACGAGGCAGTGAGCGGTGCCGAGTTCGATAAGAGTGTGGGGTTTTGGCGCGTGAGGAGCGTGGGGGTGAAGGATGGGGAGGAGATGGAGTACGTGTGCCGGTGGCTGGTGGTGGCGACGGGGGAGAATGCGGAGGCGGTGGTCCCGCATATTGAAGGAAAGGAGGAGTTTGGAGGGGGTATAGTACATACAAGTTTGTACAAGAGTGGTGAGGTGTATAGAGGGAAGAAGGTTTTGGTGGTTGGGTGTGGAAATTCAGGAATGGAGGTGTGTTTGGATCTTTGCAATCATGAGGCTAAGCCATCCATTGTGGTCAGAGATAGAGTAAGAACTCTTCAACCATACCTCTATCTCTCTCTCTCTCTCTAGACACATTATAAAGCAAATCCCATTAAATTCAGATTTTTTAATGCTAAATATTCCCAATTTGATGAGGAAAAGTTTTCATTTTCAAGTTCCTCAGGTCAAAGCAAAACCCAATTGGGATTTTCTCATCTTTTTGCCAAATCTTGATATGCATAAATATACAATTCAATATATATAAATATATTTAAAGCTAGCTTACAGGATATTTTTGTTTATATTGAGAACCAATTAAGATTTTTCATGGTTTTAAAATGCTTACTAGATTTTTCATGGTTTTAAAATCATGAATATTTGATATGTCACTTTCTTGGATCTCAAGCATGCGCAGCAATGTTAGGAAACAATATCTTTGTCCTCTTTTTATTTACTGGAAAAACAAAAACAAAAATAAAATAAAATAAAATAAAATAAACAATTGTAGGAAACATAGTAACTCAAATTTCATAATCATACATATGATATGATTCTCTGTAAAGGACCTTTTTAGTATATGGAGGCCAGTCATGGCCTGCAAACAACCAGCTAGCCCTCCAGAAGGGCAAGTGAGTGTGGTCTCACACACTTCTTTTAGGTCACTTTTTTAAAAAATGCTATCTTTACTATGTGACCTTTTCTTTTTCTTCTTTTGTGTGTTGTTTTTCACTTTTCTTATCAATTGATTGAAGGTACACATCCTACCTAGAGAGATGCTGGGAAGATCAACTTTTGGGCTGTCCATGTTGTTGCTCAAGTGGCTGCCCATCCGTCTTGTCGATCGCTTCTTGTTGATCGTGTCGCGGCTCATGCTCGGTGACACTGCTCAGTTCAGCCTCACCCGGCCTCGAATAGGTCCCCTCCAGCTCAAGAACTTGACCGGAAAGACACCGGTGTTGGATGTTGGGACTTTAGCCAGAATCAAAACTGGAGATATTAAGGTACATTAATTGTTTATCACTATGCAAATTGTCACTTATTTATTTATTTTTTTGAAAAAAAATATTTTAACCCTTGCAGCTTAATTTCTAGTGTTTGATGGATCTTATAATAATATTCCTTGATCAAATGAACAGATATGTGACAAGTTTTATTTCTTATTTGGGGAAACAGTCAAGAATAATCACTAATCACCATTTTTTTTTTTTTTTTTTTTTTTTTTTCTATAGTATTGTTCAATATATATCTAATTTCTGTTCTTAATTCAAATAATTTGGAGATTTTGGTGATCTTAATAAAGAAAAAGTGAAGGGACATATTTAGCACTACTAGTCCATAATTAGTTGCGCAAATCACATCACTTTTTTATTTTTTTCCCTTTGACAACTTTCAACTTTCTAGTGTTTGATGGATCCTATAATCTTTGTTGATAAATCATTAGGTACACTGTGTGACAAAAATAACCTGCTTTGTCCAAAAAAAAAAAAAAATGGGCAACTAATTATGAGGTTTTTTTATAGCTTCCCTCATTTTTTTTTTATCTGTTTATATATTTTTGATAAGTGAGTTTAATATTAACAAAAGGAACAAATTGTAAGATCATTCAATTTAATTTGTATGTAAGTTGATCATTTTCATAAAAAAATAAAATTTTCAAAATTAAGGATTTTCATCTCTTATGACACTCTGCGCTTTGGAAGTATTTTAAAATTTCATCTTCACTCTGTTTAATTTATTGCCTTTTTGATGCAATTTTAAAAATAAATTATAGGTTTTTTAATTACAAATAATTTCCATCGATCTCCTAATTTGTTTGATATCTATTTGGATTAGGTATGTCCAGAAATTCGGCAATTAACGCACCATGCAGTGGAATTTGTCAATGGGAGAAAGGAAAATTTTGATGCAATCGTCTTAGCAACTGGTTACAAAAGCAATGTTCCCTCATGGCTAAAGGTAGTGTTTTTCATCATCTTCTTCTTTTTTTATTTTTTTTTTCTTTTTCTTTTTCTTTTTTAAGTTCTTGATTCTCAAGGATATTTATGTTTCCAGGAGAGGGAAATGTTTTCTCAGAAGGATGGTCTACCCCTAAAACCATTCCCAAACGGGTGGAAAGGCGAGTGTGGACTATACGCGGTAGGGTTCACTAAGCGCGGCTTACTTGGTGCATCAATGGATGCCAAGAGAATCGCGGAAGACATTGAACAGTGTTGGAAATCCGAGGCAAAGCATCTCACGGCCTTGGCATGTTCAATTTTGCCAAAACAATGATTTGTTTCGAGTTAGAAACAAAGATTTGATTGAAGATTTTTGGAGATTAATGCTGGAGAACTTTGGCACAATTCTAGTAACAAGAAGTTGCTTCACCAAATATGGATAAAAAGAGAGTACTAAAAAAAGAGATCAGTTTTATCAATGAAGCCTAGTTATATTTAATTTCATTGACACCATGCAGACCATGTGAAAGAGGAGCAAATAGGAGTAAAAGTAAGATGGAAGTTATTGCGTGTGTGTGTGTGTGTGTGTGTGTGGGGGGGGGGGGTGACTATCTACTATATACCATGTACATCTTGTACATTGCCAATTTTCTTTAACTGTTAGCCTGTTAGGTATGACTTTCTAGAGAGAGAAGAGAGGGGGGCAAGTTGTAGGGTGTTTGGGACTCGAGAAAATAACAATGTGATGTTTTCTCTAGTGATCATTGTCTAGCTAGTATGGTAGATGAACATTTACTATTTCTGGTTTTGTGTGGAGGTGACTTCAAGAACATGTGAGTTCTAATCAAAACTAGAAAAGTGAAATTAACTTTCATACCAAAACTTCTACTAGTGTGTGATTTCTGAAGCAACTTCAACGTTGAAATGATTGCATTATAAATAAGAAACCAGGACCACCATCTTTTTAATAAGTAAAATATGCCAATTCCAATTTGAGATTGCCCAAAATATACAGATTAATTACCTGATCAAATCCCATTTACCATTCTTGATCCTTGACTTTTCTCACGTTCAAATGCAATGGTCATCTTCTTTTGTCTGTATGTGTGTATATATATAATATATAATACAATAATACAATTTTTTTTTTTTCTTTTTGGTGGAAAAAGCTACGACTGAACTCTTTTTTGAGTCAGTAGACCTGTCCTTATTGTTTATTGAACTGAATTTGTCTTTACATTTTTAAAATTCAAGACACTGGGCATGTTTGGTTTGGGTTTTCAGATAATTAAAAATTAAAAATAAAAAATTGTACAAAAACTTTTATTTGATTCACTTTTTTGAAAATTCAATTATAAAAATATTTATTTTCAAAAGATTAGGATTTACTTAGTTTGTAACTTTCTGTTTTCAGAAAATTACACAAAAAATATGAAAACAGAAAATTATACAAAAAAATTCTGTTTGGTTCAGTTTTCTAAAAATTGAGTTATAAAAATATTTATTTTCATTAGATTAGGGTTTGCTTAGTTTATAATTCTAACAAAAAGTTTCTAAATATAAAAACAAAAAATTATACAAAAAAAATTATGTTTGATTCAGTATTTTAAAAATTATGTTCTATTCAAATGAGAAAACCTCACATCATTAATGTTTACCTTTGTTATAAAGTGTAAAATCTGAAAAATCGAATGACATGGAATCTATGGAAATAAAATCCAATTAGTCGACCTAATCTTAACAATTACTAGTATTACTGATATTTTTGAAGTGTTCATGCCCAATTAGTAGAAATGACAACTTAACATAAAACATAACACGTGTCATGCTCTAACTATGAATATTTTATTTATTGCTTTACAGTTGTGAGTTGTGACAAATGCTTGAGAATGACCATAGACTTGTCTTTTTTAAAGTAACCTTAAAAATGCAATTAAACAAGCACCACAAACACAAATTGAATCTGTATAGATTAATCCTAAAAGAAGATTAATTGCCTAACTCAAGAGGGAACAGAAACAAGTTGAATGTATTGTGCATATATCTATATATATATATATATATATATATATATATATATATGCTACCAAAATCCTTTTTTTGACTAAAGTGAAACACAATCGAGAACCGCTTAATGTGTATACTTTATGTCTCAATCTCATTTTCTATACTAGAGAAAACAACAATAAAAAGAAAACAAAATGTTAACATCATCCCATCGCTTATGGTAAGAATTATTGGCAACTGCAGAGATTTGTGAGTGGGTTTTAGTGTGTGTGTGTGTGTCCAATGACTAGACTACAAAACAGAGAACAAAACCCTCTGCTCATGGAGCCTCCATTGCCACGCTTCCAATATTGTTTAATTATTATGATTTCTGATGATACGATGATCTTTTATATAAATACAGTCGAATGTGTCCAACTTCGACTCTTTTCAATAATCACAAAAGTTTAATATTAATTATTATTTTAAAACTAGGAGAGAATGAGTAGTGTTTGGACAGCATTCACGATGTCATATCACCAATAGCTTCAGTGGTAACAATATTATATCACCAACAATTTTGTTAGATCTATATGATACCATGAAGTCATCCGATCAATTTTGACTTTTCATTCTTTTCAACGCAAAATAAGCTCAAACACATGTTAAGATGTTCCTCCAATTAGGTTAAATTATATAATTTGAAATTAATATATGCTCCCAAAATAAGTGATTCTATCCAATCTTATGACATCACTTGATTGATCGGGATCACGTTATTTTGAATTATGCAATTTTTCATGCTTACACGTGGTGTGGTGATCAAGCCAATTAATCTGGACCATCCAATGTGGTGTGGTGATCAAGCCAATTAATCTGGACCATCCAATGTGATTGTTTGATTTATGATATTTAGTCCACCGACCATTCTGAAACTTCTAAATGGGTTGGTTGATAATGGTTGTTTGTCAATAAAATGATTATCCACTAAAAGTCAAAGAAAAACCTAGTGATTAGAATCTAATTAAGATTATAATGGAAAATATGTCTGGCAATATGTCTAACCAATCTAATTAAGATTTAATGGAGAATTTGTGTCCGTCGGGTACAAGTGAGGAAAGGCGGGGAGATTCCAATTGTCAAATGGTGCTTTCGAGTGTATACGGAACACTGCAATCCCGATACAAATGTGTGTATCTATATACACACATATTTATATCAATAATATAATATTAATACAACCCATTGAATACTTTTAAATCAAACTTAAATTTTTTATATGATGGTCTCCCGTCCTAGATTTAATGATATTGTACATGTTGAAACAACTTACCCAAAATTTAATGCGGACTATATTGTCGGAAATGGCCAGATCTTTAGAAATTTGATATCCACTTTTGCAACTTGATAACTCAAACAAAATCATATAATCAGAGATTGCCAAATTTTTAGAAATTTGATCTCCACTTTTGCAACTTGATAACTCAAACAAAATGCAGATTTTGAGATATGTATTCACTTTTCTTAATGTATTATTTGCCTCTATTCAAATTGAATTTGCTAACGGGCCGGATTCTATAGCAAAACACTAATATAGCCTTAATTCTTGCGGTTAGCAATACTGAAATAATTCTCTAAACACTCTTATGACTAGATAGTAAAAACGAGAACATAAAGAAGTGAATTACTAAATGTGCAACACCCCATCGTTATTTATAGACTTCCAAAAGGTGCAAATCAAAAGTCACATGCAAGGGCGGAGCAAGAAATTTTAGGTTGGGGAACGGATTTGTATTATGTAACTAAAGTATGAAAATTTTATAAATCATTTGTATATAATTTTTTATAAATACTAGTGAAGTATATATACTTTGAGAAAATTCAAAAATGAGAAAAATTCAACTTAATAATAGACGAAATTGAAATTACGAAGGGAAATATAAATAAAAAACGTTAAATTACAATTTAAAAGAGAAGATGTACATAAATAAGTATTGTCAGAGAATTAAATTTTCTTCATCAATTATTTCAGTTTTTTAAAATCTAATTTTTGGAAGAAAAATTTCAGAGTACTTTGATTTCACTTGGGAAAGATATACCTAGATAAAATATTAGAAAATAAATAATAAATTTTAACTAAATAAAATAATTTAAAATTAAACAAGATGTTAATAAAGATTATTATATAATTCTAAATATTTTTCTTGTAGATATCATTGTACAAAAATGTTTGACATGCCAAAAATGCTTGAAGCTTTTTTATTAAACATGATGGAACATTAATGATTTGTTTCCCTTTTTTCTCTCTCTTGAATTGCTATTATAGATATTATACATGTGTATATGTAAATAAATTAACAATGCGTTACAATAACAGCTATTATAATAATGAGTTTTTTCCAGCTTTTAAAAGCATAGTTAAAAGGGTTCAAGTAGAACATTTTTAAAATTTCAAGAAGACACAGAATTTATTTTCGAACTCGATCTCTATTTTAGGGCTATTGTTCAAACTCTCTATTTTGGGTCAATATGTAATTGTTTTGAAAAAATGGGAGGGCCAATTCAAAATTTTAATAATTTTTAGGGGTTATATTTATAAATTAATTAATATTTAAAGGTTAGTAATAAAAAAAAATTAAAAAGTTTGGGAGGGCCATGGCCTGGCTGGCCCCCCTAGCTCCGCCCCTGGTCATATGTCATGTTGCAACCTATTCAGAATGTACAAATCAAAAGTCACGTACCATCTTTAATAGCGATATTTTAGAGGTATGATAGTTATTATTATTTGAATAGTATCAAATTAAACAGGCACATTCCATAAGCATGCATGGTATTATTGTTGTTTCTATATCACGTGTCTATATATATATATATTACAATATATTCAACCTTACATTCACAAAAAAAAAAAATGCGTTTCAAAAATATATTGTCATGGAGAGGATCGGAGTCCAACTTTTTCACACTAGAATTTATACGCAATGCATGGAAAATTGTACTTAAATGGGTTTCAGTTTTAATACTAAGGTTTAGACATTTATCAAATACTCGACAGAATGGGTGATGTGGTGAAGCATGTGCCAACTATAAGTTATTTTGTGGTCTAAATTGAATCTTTTAAAATTAAATATTCAAAATATATAATTTAAAATTTGTCAAGTAAAATTCTTTGAACTACATTTTTATTTTTAGCTTTACCAGAAAATAAAACTGATTTTTTTTTAAAGTGAAATAAATAAACTTAGCCAACTGTTTCAGTCATTGGATGGATTTTCGTCTGATTGTCCTGGAGAACAAAGGGACAACATTTCTAACTTAAATTTGAAAGAAGTAGAGCATAATCTTATAAATAAATATAGAGAGAGAGAGAGAGAGAGTAATTAGTTGAATTTATTTATCAAAATAAAATAATGTGATGATGACAATTAATTTATAAAAAATAAAGGCAACTAATTTAATACAGGGGACCAAAAGAGCAATTACACTGCGCATGTACAACATGCATGAGAATGACGACTCACAATATGAGGGAAAGATCAAAGATCACGATAGTTCTCAAGTAATGTCCAGATCTCTCTCTCTCTCTCTAAAC